TAATGGGGCAATGGCTTCCCCCAAAGATACATAGTGCCTCTCCTCCACTGAGATCCCTTCTTCTCCGACGAGCTCGCATGAACTAAAAAAAGCGACTGACGCGAAAAAGAATATTCAGGCACCTGAGATATAGCAAAACCGAACTTTTTCAACTTGATGGCGGAAACAGAAATAAATACTATTACTACCCCAGACTTTGCACATTAGAGTTCAGTTTTGGAGAAAACATTAGCAGAGTAGACTCTTCTGAGATGAGCTTACGCAGAGCCAAACTGGTTTCATTTCATTTGGCACCTAATTAAATCACCAAGCCAAACCAGGACGATGATCGACCAAGAGAAATCAAAGAGCTGGCTAGCCACTTAATTTGCAGCAGAGGAGCATGTGTAGTTAGTACTATAAGTGAAGTTTGGAAATCCATTGATCCCGAACTGGAGAATTACCTTACCTGGGGTGAAAAATGGCCGGCCAAACTGGGTGCAGCGAACACGGCCGGCCGAGATGTGATCGAGGCCGCGCCGGGGCCGAAGCAGACGGCAGAAGGAACGGCAGTTGGTGTCAAAATGAATGGGAAGGACGTCGTTTCTGTCTGATAAGAGAGGCGCGAGTGATAGAGCACTGCTTGTTTTCTTCTCGCGCGGCTTTTGGACATGGTTTTGCCCCTTTTGAAATGTTCAACGTGGAGACTTGTTCACTCGCCAAAGAACAAATACACGTGGACATGGGCTTGGCAAAACTACAACCAGCTCATGAGTACTGACATATGAAAGCTGACAAAGGGGGAAAAAATCCAGTGTCCCCGTCAAAAAAAATCTAGTGAGTTTTCCTAGTAACTGGTTCTCGTGGGGGAATTATGCGGAGCGCTGCAATGATGTGGGAATCAGAAACTTTGTGGCAGCTTATGACATGTTGTGTTATTCTGCACAATATGATTGTCGAGAATGAGGGTGATGGTGTAGCCCAAACCCATGATTTCGAAGCACCTGGAGAACAAATTGAAATCCCGGAAGATCAAGATGTGGCTCAGCTGATGAACTTCCTGCAGATGCATCAGAATCTTCGAGATCAGCAGGTGCACACGCAACTACTCAATGATCTTGTGAAGCACATGTGGACCCACAATGGTAACCAAGGAGACAATGCTTGATTTCGCACTTAAAATAAATTTTATGTAAACGCTATCTATGCTTGGTACCAACAATTGCTATTTACGTGCGACATTGTGTTGCATGATCGACGTGCATGTATTTGTATGGATTTGAGAGTCCGTATTTGAGATATGTGGATACCCGAAAGAAAATATGAGGGCCCGTCCGGATGCGCCGCCGGGTGTGCCCAGTCGCGTCCGCGGGCGCTTGAGGGGCCGAATTTGCCAAGTCCGGTTGTAGATGCTCTTAAGGCTTTCATTGTGATAAACACTGCGTGTAAATTAAATACTATGTGCATTTACTTTGTCACAGAAATTCAGATCCGATTTCAGTTCACAGATGTTGAGAAACAAGAAAAAAAATACAAGTCGTGTTATGGATAATTTGCTGCCGTCCACCGCCAGCTCAAACGCCGGCCGGAGAAGTTTTCCGATGGCTCTTGCAGAGATGGGCACATATATAAATGCCTGGTTTTTGGACTCCAGTTCGATTGGAAAATGACAGAAAAGAAAGGATTCAGCGAGCCAAAACACAGATTTGGGAATTGAAGGATCAGCTGTTTATTTGTTGGTTTCTTCTGAAACTGCACACTAAGACATGAGACTTGGCTTGCTCAGGAACTACTAGCAGAGGCGACCACTACAAATGCAGGAGGAGATGGACAGGAATTATTCGGAGCAAATATCACAAAATCGTAACTATTATGGCTAGAAATTCACAAAACCATACATTTTTTGGGGGTAAGTTGTTTCACAGAAGAGAAGACCTTTCAGATTACGACGTCTGACACTGATTGTCTCTGACACCCCACACTAGCCTGACATATATCCCAATCAAATATGAATTGCAACTCGGAGATTGAAACAAAGTCGGAAATCGAAGCACACCAATCCAGTTCGTGATACATAAAAGATCAAAATTGTTACCATAGCAAACTAAGGGAGTCCATTAAAATTCAGCGAGGTATGTCGGTCCAGGAAACAAGCTCCTGCTCCATAGTGTAGCATCTGGTGACATCCTGAGCTGAATGATTGGCAGCAGAGAAGAACTCACCATGCCGTGGACCGGGACTAGCACTGAAACAAGTGGAACAGTTTGAAGGTAACAATGGCATGGCTTCACCATCGCTCTCTAACCCGTGTTTTTTCTCCATCATCATCTTGCCCCCCAGGAGCTGCAGCCTAAGCTCCACTTCTTTCATGGTAGGCCGCTCTTCTCCTATGTGCCTCAAGCATACCCTCGCAAGGGCAGCCATCTCAGTGATCTGTCTGTCGTTGCCTTCCTCGAGAACTTGAACATCAACGATCTCTGTCAAAGTGTTATCTTGTAGCATCTGAAGGAAGTAATGAGATAAGTTTTGCTTTTCACACCGGAAATTGAGGAAAACCGGCTTCTTCCTAGTCAGAAGCTCGACGATTATCACACCGAAACTGTAAACATCGCTCTTCTCGGTTAGCTCGCCGGTGTGGTAATACTCAGGATCCAAGTACCCAAATGTGCCCTGCACTGCTGTGACCACACGAGTTTCATCGATGGAGATGGACCTCGAGGCACCAAAGTCTGCCACCTTTGCAGTGAAGTTATCTGTTAAGAGTATGTTGGTAGATTTCACATCTCTATGAAAGATTGGTATTGCGGCAGCGGAATGGAGGTAAGCAAGAGCACTTGCCGCCTCGCTAGCAATTCTGATACGATCGCCCCAGGTTAACAAGCTTCTACCACTCAGGTGGTCACCATGAAGAAGTTCAGATAATGTCCCGTTGGAGACGAACTCGTACACGAGCAAAGGCACCTCTGACTCAAGGCAACATCCAAAAAGTTTCACCACGTTTCGATGACTGATTTGTGATAAAATTGCAAGCTCGTTTATGAATTGATCGATCTCTCTTTGATCGGCCATTTTGGACTTTTTTATGGCCACAACACGTTGATCGGATAAAATCCCCTTGTAAACAGTGCCATGCCCTCCGAGGCCTAGAATGCGTGTGGAGTCAAAATTATCCGTTGCCTTTTCTAACTCATCCAAGGAAAATATTTTAGTGCTATGTGTGGCACTTTCATCAGATGAGATCAACTGTTCCAAGACAAGGCCTTTGTTTTTTCTAAAGTATGCCTTTCGAACTCTATTTTTCATGCTTCTCTTCCACATCCGAACCAACAAAGTTGAAACTGACGCAAGAAATAGAGCCCCAATGCCGGAGCTTAGTCCAATAACAACTCCTGAAAAAGTAAGCATATGTAACAGTTAGGCGCATAAAAGTCTTCCTTGTGTAGGTAACTACTTTTCTTTTCTTTTTTGTGTGGATTGCTGGTGATACTTGCAATTGCATCGTTTTTACAATCCAGGGACTAATGCTCTGGTCCCAGTATACACTAAAGTAAAAAAACAAAATTTTGTCCATGCCAGAGTGCAACAGTGACAAGCCTATTATACATTAGTACTCCGTCTGTAAAGAAATATAAGAGCATTTAGCTCGCTAACGTAGTGATCTGAACGCTCTTATATTTTTTTAGAGGGAGTACTAGCCAATAAAGATAACAACAACTCTGCTACTCTCAACAAAACACAAAATATTTTACCAGATTACATAGAAAGATCATTCTTCAGATTCTAAAACAGTGCATCATTGATTGTAATAAGATGAATAAAGCAAGGTGCTAACTTCTGGTGGTTTACCTATAAACCGGTTGGTGCAAGAGTTTGTTTCCTTGGCAAAACTGCTGCCAAAAGGACATGAACAATGGTACCCTCCAACTGTGTTTTGGCAAGTTGCAGACTCAGGACAGGGGCTTGGAGTGTGCTCACATTCATTGACATCTGCAGTGAAAATCAAACAAAATATCTGAACCCAAGTGAGTCGTTTGAAGGAGATTGGAGTATAGATAACTATGAAGTGGCATTTGATCTAAACTTCTTTTTCGATGACTTGGGTTGCAATTCTACTCGAGTGAGTAATCTGGTGTCAAAGTGAAAAGTTAAGCACAAAGGTACTTCTGCACCATATTTAATCAACGATGGAAGTGAGATGGCATTCAAGATGCAAGGCAAGTCTAATGTAACAATTTGATCAACATGAGATGGAAAGAAAAAGAGTTGTAGTATACTGGTCTGTTCTCCATTTCCTTTTTTATATGTTGGTGGTTTCCATTAATATCCGTCTACATACTACATAAGTATATATAAAAGTTGATTTGCGACCCACATTGCTCAAGAGATAAAATCCACAGTTTAACCCCTGATTTTCTTCAGAGAGAAAATGCTATTATACACATTTTTCCATTCCACAAATCCTTTTGAAATAAGGGGAGAAACTAGCCTGTGCATCCACCAGAGAGGTAAGGATTCCCTTGGTATCCAACGGAGCAGTTGCACAGATACCCTGGGCCGTTGGATGAATCCACGCACACGGTGTTTTCGCTCCGGCATGCATAAGAAGGCCTGTTTCTGCGTGCCACCTCACATGTTGCATTTCCAATCACCCAGTCAAGGACAACCGGCTGCCGCCCCTCGTAGGTATCATTGAACCTCTTCGTGGTTATGTACTCGGAGTTGAAAGTGAATGTCTCTGCCTCCACCACCATGGCATAGCTGCATGGGTTGAAGTGCCAACTATTTGAAACATCCACATAGTCTACATCATAGAAGTAGACATGGTAGCTCGTTAAGCCCTTGGGGACGGTGTTCTGGCAACAGCCTACACCAACACACGAGCCATTTTTCAGGTCTCCCGGGCTCCCACACACCGACACACACCCTGTCGCATACCTTGTGGATTTTTCGGTGTTGTAGATGTACCCAATTGTGTTGCAACCAATGCTTATGAATTTGTTCTGCGAGTTAGAGATCCGATACGGCCAAACTAAGTAAAAATCCCAAATGTAGGAATCCATTTCTCCTGTACTAGAATTGTAGCAATATGTCGGGATGAACATCAAAACTCGGGATTGGCCACTTGATGCTGAGATGCTTAGAACCTCCCAGTAATTTATGAATGGCCTCTCGATCCCATCGGCGGCGGTCCTGCTGCAGCTGATCTCGAAGCGTTGTTCGATAGCACAGCCAGCACCAATGCCAAATGGATAGGGGATCTCTACATCACCACACCGCGTTTTGCATCCGTGGTGAGGCTGCGCTGATGATATAGATGCAAGGTTCAGCATGAGTACAATGGCACCGAGCACTAGCACCGGCGCCATATCAAGTCCCTGCAACTGCAATTAGTGTGGTCAAATTAAGTAATTGTCTGCTATGCTGAAGGAAAAAGAGAACATCTCGAAAAAACATCGATGTTATCACTTCTTAATTGTCTGAAAATTGAAAGTGAAAACACCTGTGTATGCTTATGCTATAGAAACAACTGAAGTTAATAGCAGGGGTTGGATGGGTTCAGAGATTTACATCAAACGGAAGTAACCTTGCAAATGAAATGATATGCTAACCTTGCAAATAAAACATAAGAAAATATTTATTTATCTCCCGGATTTGCGTCACGGCGGCGCAGCGGATCGCCTCCGGCGACGGCGGCGCTGCATGGCGACGTGGAAGAGCAGGTCGTGCTGGCCGATCAGTGCGTCCGCGCGGTCACGACGGCCATGGCTACGGTGGTCGGCGGCGGCAGGATGTGACTGGTGGCAGCGGCGACGTCCGGCCTGGATCCTGGGGCGGCGGCCCTGGAAGGTGGTGGCAGGTGAAGCTCGGACCTCTCGCGGCAGCATGGCGTGGTGTTGTCCCTGTCCAAGGCGGATCTGCGCCGGTGATCTGGTGGCTTTGGCTTTGGATTGGTTCGGATCAGAGACGGTGACGAGCGCGCGGGTTCCCTCTCGGTGGCTCTTGCAGCTTGGCGAGGTGGGGTGGCAGCCCTCCTCGCAGGCTCCAGTGGTAGCACACACAGGCATTGGCCGGTGTGCCAGGGCTCGCATGGTGGTAGTGTTGTTGTGGATGGTCGTCGGATCTGGGTGGCTAGATCTCGGGCTTTGAGGCGGTCTGGATGGTGCACAGGCTGTCGGTTGGATTTTCTTAGGACAGATCCGGGTGAAAACCTGATCTTCGGCTGGTGGCTGGAGCCGGTGATGGTGATGCCCTTGGCGTCGTTTCCTTCATGGAGACATCATCGAGGTGAAGCTCCCAACTCCTCCTGCTATCTTTGGGGGAAACCCTTGATCAGTTGGTCGGGTGATGGCAACGCTCTTGTGTCGTTCCCCCCTTGGGGGCGTCATTCTTAGAGGTGTGCATTGCCTCGAGGGACCAGTGGACGGTTTTAGCGGTGGAGCGGCGATTCATGTCAAGCATCGATGATGTGGAGCCTCGACGGCGTGGTGCAGCAGGGTCTTGGCACTGGAGGTGTGATGGTGGACGCGCGTAGAGAGGTGGCGTTGTCTGGTGTCGTGGTGGCGTTGACGGCAGGCCTGACAATGTCGATGCGTCAGTACCTGTAGAAGATGGATCGGCGTATGACGACAGCGTCGGCATCTGAGACTATGCCAAACCGGTGTGTGCCCCAGACCCATCAATGTGGCTTGGTTGGGGCCTCCGGCTTTAGATGTTAGGCTTTGGTACGAGGTCTGCTTGGTATTCGGCTCGGACAATCGGCACCCCTTCATCAACTAGGTAGGAGTAGCAACATATGTTGTTAAGATGGTGGCTTCAGACTTACTTTGTAAGGTTTTTGTGAATAATTAATAAAATAACTGCATGCATCGTCCAGATGCAAAGGCCAGGGTCATCCTCCTTTAAAAAAATGTATGATAATATGTACTAATAAAAAACGACAACATGCATCTTGCTTTTTGGCTGTTGACTGTTGTATTATGGCGCCTTGCAGAGAATGGTGAATTACTTTCCCCAAATTGTAAAAGATTCATGACATGTGAATTAGTGTACTGATGTTGAAATCAATTAATGGCAGTCCACTACTTTTCTCTAAAAATACGCCAAGCTCGATATGAACGCTCGGTTCGGATTTACCTAGAGAGCGGCCGGAAGCGGGAAGCGAGCGCGCGGCGGCGGCAGGATGCGGTGCTGACGAGGCGGCGAAGCGCATGGTCGCCCGGGCCGGGGGAGTTGGCGCGGACGCGGAGGCACCGCCGCCCCGCGCCACCTCCTGCGGAGGGCGTGATAACCTGGGCCATGGCGGAGCTGCGTCATCACCTCGCCGGACGTGGAAAAGACAACGCGGGGTGGGGTGGGGAGTTTGTGGCCAAGTGCGGACTGGGAGAGAAGGAGAGGCAATCCATCCATCAGGCAGCTTGCAGGGGTCCTGCTAATTGCACATGGTAAGAAGTTGTTTTGGAACTTAATAATAGCGCAAACATAAGTTTGAACGTTTGGTAGAAATTTTGGTAAAAACGTCTTATATTTTGGTACAGAGGCAGTAGATTTGATTCTTCGCGGACACTTCCTTCATGGCAGGGGATCACAGGCTATTAGTACACACAAGTGCCATTTGAATCGAATCACTTAACATCAGAAGGCCAAAGCAGGGTGAAAATCAAAACGCAAAAGAGCCAGCCCTAGCTGTAGACAAGGGGAGCAGAAGTGAATCCCATTAATCTCCAACGGAGGTACGTACCAGGGGTATGGCCAGCTGGGAGCACGAGCACGACCGATGCGGGGCCGGCGCCGGAGGCAGTTGATCGAGCGTGCAACCGGAGCAGAGGATGAGGTTGTCTGATGATGTGATAGAGGCGTCACTGGTAAAAGATTGTTTGTTTCTCTAGGCTAGGCAGGCAGCCTTTCAACGTGGTGACTCCTTTTGAGTTTTGAAATGTTCAGCATACATGGAGACTAAACTGGGCAAAAACTCCAACCAAACGTGGCACTCTATGACATATGGGATATGGTGGCTAATTAGTGCGACTTTTCTCCCGGTAACTTGTTCAGGGTTTGATTTACGACGGCGCCAATTGTTGACTTTTTTAGTGGAGTGGGCATATTGGTTGATATTGCGTGTCAAAAAGGGGTTTAGACAATCTTGCCTTCATGGCATAATTCCTCCCTTTCGTCTATGTAGATCGAAATTGCAGAAACTTTCGTTGCAACGTAGGTGTCGCTTCACACCTGAAGTGAAGGTTTTACCAAAGAACAATTCCACGGGTTGGTGCCTGCTAACATGCATTATTTCAGGCGTGAGTGTGACTGCTCTCACTCCTGTCAATTCATCAATTGCAAGTTGCAACAAGCAAACTCCTGTTTTAATTTCCTCCTGCAAAAGCTCCATGACAAGACAAATATATGGTGCCAGATCATGGTTTAATTTCACACGGGGCACCTCCATCAGGCTGTAGCTTTAATTTCTTGGAACGTCAAATGGTGGCGAAGTACGATCCGGACCCTGCAACACAAACTGAAATATTTTACTTCAAGAACCGCGACAAGATAAAACATTGATAGCCCCGGTAGATAGACCAGTAAAAAAGGACATGCCATCCGATCCGAATGAAATATATGTCGCTTCCTCGTAGCTTCAGAGACGCGCCACCAACATGGAAGCCTTCTTTGTGAGCTCTGAACATTTTGCTGCGTTTACGGAACCTGCAACGGAAGTATACGAGGATGGTTAAATCACAGATAACCTAGACAGGCATGTCTGCATTTACGTTTGTCCAGATAGCTAGATTGTAACATTACCTGACCCCTCATGAAGATGGGACAGCGGCGGATCCTAGAGCATGCGCATGTGATGCATTTTGTGAGACGTCTACACCGGTTGGTACTCTCAGCTTTGTTAGGCGGGCGGCTTCTGAAGGACACTGGATTAGATAGTGTCAGTTGACGCGGTCAGGGCACATCTTTATACTTGTAGGTATAGTGACTTTATTCGCCTCGAAGGTGGCTTTGGATTCATCTTTGCATTCATTTTGTCAAACTATGATGGATAAATTAATAGAGATGGTCGCATGCATCATTTTGAAGCGGAGGCCAGGGTAACCCTCCTTTTAAAAAAAACATATTACAGATAAATCAATGTTGTTCAGGTATGTCATTAAACTAGCTAAGAGCATCTCCAACAGCCGCGCTAAACAATCGTCACGCCGTAAATTTTGCCATTTTAGCGCGCGCGCAACCTGTAGACAAGCTTCAGCGGGCGCGCAATAACCGCGCACACGGCATATGTAGTTGGGTGCGCGGTCCGACACGCCAACTCGCGCTGTGTATTTGGGGCGCCGACTTCCGCGCGCGGCAGACACGAGCGCTCGCGCCGCACTCTCTCCACCCCGCCACCTTCACCCCGCGCGCACCGGCGCCGGCGAACTTGACCCGATGGACGCACGCGCCGGAACCCCGCTCACCCCATCCTACAGCCGCAACCCCTCCCCGCCGCCGTCGCTGGAAACCCTAGTGCGGGGAGCGTTGGCCTCGCCACAGCCGGAGCTCCTCCGAGCATCGGCC